TCCCTCTCTCTCTCTCTCTCTCTCTCTCTCTCTCTCTCTCTCTCTCTCTCTCGCTGAGAGTTTTAGCTGTGCATATCCTGGGGGGGCATCTGTTCCCCAAAGTTAGACTAAGTGAAGGCCACCCTGGATTTCTCCCCTTTCTTCTCCAGAGTGACAAGGGCCAGTTCAGACTGAACAAAATTCCAAGCTAGAAATTTCCCACCAGTCTGCGTGTGATCCAGTCCCAGCCAATGAGGCCCATGTCACCCGAAGAGACCTGTCTCCCTAGGTTTGCCACTGTCCACCCTAGCCGGCCCTGAGCTTTCCTAAGTGGAGCTCTCAGGGGCTCTGGGGGCAACTAGCAAGGCTGCTTGAGCACGTGCATTCCCTGTTGCCCTTCTGTCTTTTGTCTGGAAGAGGAAAGTTGTCTCCCAGAAGCAGCAGCAGCAGCAGCAGCTAGAACCCCACAGCTCAGGCCCCAATGTGCTGGGGATGCCACAGGGCCCAGGGCCCAGGGCCCAGGGGCACGGCTGGTCAAGCTGTGGTGGCTACCGAGTATCTCTCATACTGGGCAGAGATGACCATCTACCCCCCACCCACCAGCTGCGCCTACAGCATCCCCAGATCCCAAACCAGGTTGAGGCCTAGCAAGAAGGGAGAAGCCTGAGCAGTGGTCCTGAGCATTTGCTGCCCCACTGGGAAAACCAGCCCTGGTTCTCAGAGTTCTGGCATTTGGGCCTGGCTTCTTTCCAGGCTGGGAGGCCTGGGGCCTGGGGCCACTTGAAGAATGCCATGGGGGCATGGGTGACACTGGCATGGCACAGAAAGGGCTAGGGGGCTGGGAGGGAAGGAGCTGGGACGGTCCCCACCAGGGCACTGCCCCAAAGGGTGGATGATTGTTTGTGTCCAGCTCCAACCAGTTCAAGAAACCAACCTCCATTTTCTTTTCTTGGTGGGTCCTTTTTTTTTTTTTTCAGACTGTTAACAGAAAAAAAATTTAAAAAGCAGAAAACAAAACAAAAATACAAAACAAAAAAATCCTGGTACATGAAATAAAGATTTTTTTTATAGCTTGGTCCTCACGTTGGTGAATTTCTTTAATTGCTTTTCCAACTCCTTGCATCTCATTTAAAGCAATCCTAAGGCCACATATTTTCAGAGTTGGGAGACAGGAGGCTTAGATGCCATGCAGTAGGGTGGCCCCACTCCTCAGGTTACAGGCTCCCTCTTAAATAGCTTTTACTGGCACTTGCATGCCAACAGGGACAGGGAACTCAGCCCATTCCAAGGAAGCACTGGCCAATGCTAGGCAGCAGCAAATGGCAAAGTCTACTCAAACCCACCCTTTCCTTCACTCTGTGCAAATCCCTCCCCTTTCCAGTATGATGGCCCCTCAGATCTTCGCATGATGTCCTTGAAGTTTCTCTTTTAGACTAAACCAGTCCCACTCAACATCCCAACCACAAACTAGGGTTTCCATTTTCCCAAGGAAAGTGTGCAGCCTGGAAGGTAAGACGCTGGGGCTCTCTGCAGAGAGGTATTGCCCGGAGAGGGCCACGGAGTGGCAGAAGAAGGGGAAGGGTCTCGAAGGGGACCCTGGGCCTGTCTCAACCTGAACAGATGGGAAAGACAAAGATGGAAAGCGAACTGGAGGACATGGCCCTTGACGCTGGAGAAAGGACCCACGAAGGCAGTTAAAGAACTAAACCACAACTGGGAGGCTCAGGCAGGAGGGTCACAAGTTCGAGCCCAGCTTGGGCAATTTAACAAAACCCTGTCTCAAAATAAAAAATACAAAAATGAGTTAGGGATGTAGCTCAGTGCGAAGGCCTTGGGTTTGGGGTTCAAATTGAAAAATAAAGAACTAAGCCACCAATGTCTAGCCATGTTCAGTCAAACTGCCAGGTCAGCAAATACATTGAATGCATTTAACTTAGTTTACTTTAACTTTAAAAATTTGTCATGGCATGTGGTAGTGCATGACTGTAATCCCAATGCTCAGGAGACTGAGGCAGGAGGATCACTGCAAGTTCACAGTCAGCTTGGGCTACACAGTCAGTTGAAGGCCAGCCTGAACTACATAGTGAGACCCTGTCTCAAAAAACCCGAAAAATCTGTCATGCCAAAAAAGATGGAGGAAAGCAGGTATTTTGAAATCAAATAGAGACAAGGAACAAACAAAATCATAAAATGCATCTTCCTCTGCCCCCTAATGCATCCCTGTGACACCCTCCTGCCACCTCTGGGTGTATTGTCCTTGACCCAGAAGGTCAGGTAGAAACTCCCAGCAGATGCCACTACAAACAAAAAGGAGAAAAAAAAGCTGAGAAAGCTTGTGTACAGTGAGGCCCTGAGGGCCTGGTGCTCTGAAAAGAGAAAGAAGCTGTACCTGGCCCTCCTGACCTCTACCTTCACCTACCAAAAAGGCATGGAGGACTCACTAATTACAGGCTGGGCTTCACCGGTCTGGTTGTTTTAGTACTGTTTGACAAGCCAAGAGAGCGACCTATTGGAGGCATCCAGGGCACCAACGGTCACCCAGCTGGGGCTGCAGGAAAGTGGCAGGGCCATGGCCTTGTCCCCTTGAGGTCCAGGGAGGCCCTCGTGAGCTCTTGGACTGGGGGGATCTTTGGGGAGAAAGACACTGCTGGAGATTGGAGGGAGGGAGCTAAGCCACAAGACAACTTCCCTAGGGACTCCAGGAAGGAGCCAGCCCAGCAGGAGACCTGTGCCACACACATACTAAGAGGAAGGAGGCCTGGAAAAGGCCGCCCAAGCACTGAGCGCTGTTCGGAACCCTCTGCTCCATTCAGCCCATCACTGGGGGCCACAGTGCCAAGCACCCCACAGATCTGGATTATCTCTCCAGGCTCCCCCAATATCTTCAGGACCAGGGCCAAAAAACTGGGGGAGCCTCTTAGATTTTAAGTCTAAATATACAGCTCCGAACAAACCAAACTAGTTCCGTCCTTTGTCCTATCTGTCTTTGTTCCAGCTGAAAATGCTAGGCTTAGATTTAGAAAGCTCGACCTCCTTTGAATTCTGCCCCGATGGTGACCACAGCGGACAAGCCCATCTTGGCACCTCAACCCTAGCTTCTCGGCCCCCGCCAGCCATGCCCAGCTCTGTTTGGCACATGTGGGCATCTCCACAGAGGTGGTGCAGGCGCCAGCTGGCACATATGAGCTCCCAGAACAGCCATCCCTGCTCCACCCTCGGGCCAGTCACCCTCAGGAGCAAAAGGTGGTGGCTGGGGGAACCTTGGGCAGAAGCCTAGACAGCAGGCACCAAAGAAAGGTCCAGGTCTGGGTATGGGGCTCGGGGTGAAACTGTCCCTGGGCCTGTGATGTACCCCTATCATGGCCACCGCGGGGCCCCTGTCACTGTCTAATTGCAGCCCGGGCTATCTAGCTTTTGAACATAGATGTCAACACTCAGAGCTCAGGCTGCTGGCTCCCAGAGAGTCAAATAAGGGACAGTGAAGCTCTTCATGGAAAGTCACAATTGGACACCAGAGAGGGCAAGTGGTTTGTCCAGACCTGCACAGCCCATTGGCTTCAGGCCAACTGGGGGCTCCCAGCCTCTTGATCCCGCCTCCCAGCCCAGCTGCTTCTGATGAAATTGGAAGCCTTTCTGCTTTCGCCCCCTCCCCCAAGTCCTGCCACCATCTCCCCTGCACACTCTCAGGGCAGGGGAAGGCTGAGGGCTGGTGGCTATGGCTGTCCCAGGGAGCTGCTAGACCTGCTTAACGAGGAGCATCAGCTTGCAAGCCACCTCGGAGAAAGCTGGCTGGCGGCCAGCCATCGCCTGCTCCCGTAGCACAAGCAGGCAGGGCTCTGCAAAACAGCAGCTGGGGCCGCCCCTGTGCAGATTCCTCTGTTGGGAACTTGGTCCTGCCCACTCTCCCCATGCTCACTGTCCCATACAGACACAATCCCAGGTGAGACCCCTCAGGGTCTTCCCAACTCCAAGTTGAGGGGCATCACGTGGGCATCTGGCAGTGGCCACACTGGGAGTGTTCACACCACAGAAACTGGCAAGAGCTGCAAATGGGGGGTGTTTCTCTAATGAAGAGCCATTGGTAAACATTTGCCAGCATTCTGGTGCCTAAATCCACAGGGACAAAGAGGCTCACCACGGCCCCCAGGGACACATCTATACCTACAGCACGTGTGTACATTTGCATGTCCATGCACATAGCCCTGTTGCGCACATGTGTGTATACACACACACACACTTCTGGAATTAGCGCCGCTCACACAGCCACGTCCATTCAGTCGCTCGGGTCAACATTTACAGGCCACACCCCCATCACCCAGGGCTCAGGACAGCAAGGACCTGGGCTGTGCTTCAAGGGACCAAGGCATGGGTGAGCAGAGACGCTGATGAGGACAGAAGGAAGCACAGAGAGGGGACAGTGGCGAGGGAGGTGGAGGCCACCACACGGGTCCTCTGCACCCCTCATCCGTGTGCAGCCAGAAGCCATCGATGCACATAGACAAGCACAGGTAACAGTACATCACGGATGCTCATGTGCACAGCACACATGCCACGGGCCGAGGGTGTGCATGAGAGTGCGCGTGCGCGCCGACCATAAACACCCAACAGGACTAAGGAACAGAGCACAGGGTCAGATAGCCAGAATGGGATAAGGAGTCGATGGTGAGAGGAAGCCAGGTGCCTCTCACAATTGCTAGTGTTCAAAGTGGAGATGGAAACAGGGCACAAATAGGGCTCTGAGGCTGCCCCTTGAGATGAGACTGGAGAGACCTAGAGGCCACCGGGAAGGGGAGCAGCATCCCTTCCTGTCCCCTTCATTCAGGAGGTCAAGGATGACCTGTCACACTTCTCAAATAGCTCAGACCTCAAAAGCCCACAGGGAGATAAGGCAGGGGTGAGTGGAGCTCAGCCACCAGCATCAGGTAGGGGGAGCAGCAAAGGGAAAGGGCAGGATCTGAACTCAGCCACAATCTCTTCATGTCACTCTCTTGCTCAAAAACTTTCAATGGCTCCCGGGCCCTCACAGTACAGCCTTGAAAACCCTCCCTAGTGAGGCCCGTTTATCTATCTTGCCACTAAACACTGAGATTTATTGGGAACCTTCCCTATGCCTGGCAAGTGGATTGTATATTATCACAGCTGTGTTAAGCAGGTATTATTAGCTCCTTTCCAGAGATGCAGAGTGAGGCTCAGAGAAGCAGAATGGTTAAGATGGTGGCTTCTGGAGCCACACTGCCACGGTTCAAATCCTGCCTCTACCACTTAGAGGCAGTAGGATTTGGGACAAGTAATCTAAGCATCAGCTAACCTCGTCTGTAAGAGGGGAGGAGGAACAACTTCCAATAACACCGGATGATACAGATGAATCAGGGACATGGGACATGGTTACCGGAACACAGGCTCACAGGTGGGCAGCACTTCCTTTCTGACTGGGCACTCAGCGACCACCGTGGCCATATGTCCAAACCGTGCTCAGAATGGGACAGAGCTGGCCCCATGACTCTGTCCTGTCCCCATCATCGGTACACATGCACACACAAACAGACTTCCCAGGTGCCCCACTGAGGTAGAGGGAGGGGGAAGGAAAGGGAAGGTGGCTGGGTGGGTAGAGAACTTGCTGGCCATTCACAAGGTCCTTGTTTGATCCCCAGCACCAAAGAAAGGGGGAGGGGGCGATTCTCCCTGGCAGAGCTGGGAGGCCTGGCAGGAACAGAGGTCCCCAGGCTCCCTGCACAGTTCTGACTGTGAAAGCCCCAGAGGGCTGAGGCTTGGGCCATGCCCACCTTGTCCCCTGGCTCTGTCCCAGCCTGGATTCCAGCCACAGAGGCTCACAGTGGCTCTAGGAGACACTGCAGGATCCCACTGATGCGACTCATTCATTCATTCAGCTCTTGCGACAAGTCATTTGCTGTGCTCAATGTTGGCAGTAGTGGTGAGCAGGACAAACACAGTCCTTGTCCCTGCAGCTCATGTCCTAGAGGGAAAATGGGAAATTAGCAAGGGAAGAACCAAATCATTACATAACTGTAGGTGATGATTTCAAAAGTAGCAAGGTGGACCTCCCTTTGGGTTATGTGAAACCTAACAGATTAAAACAACCACCATTGAGGTATCTCCCACAATGCTGGGGCTCTTCTGCCCCATGTGATAGTGGCTGGGGCTGTGGCATCCGGGGCTCAGCAGGGCTAGAACAACCTGGCTGCCCAGGCACGGGTGGGAGGCAATGCTGGGACTGCTGACCTGGGCACTTCCTTTCCTCCACCTGGGTCCCTCCACGTGACAGGGGCCTTTCCCCGTGTACCTCGTGGGACCCGAGAAACTGCCAAGCAGCTGAAGGTCCACCCTTGGGAGCCTCGGCACATCGCTTTGGTCGGAGCCAGTCCTAAGGCCCAGACCACTTCCAGGGGGACCAGAGGCTACCTTTGGATGGATGGGAGCAGCAACGTGGATGGAAGGGGTGGGGACATAGTGGGAGCCATCTCCAAAAACCACTCACCACTGCCCCAAAGATAAAGCAGACGGGGAACACGAGGTACTTTGAGCTATGGGCTTTCAGCTGAAATCTAAAGGTAAGGAAAAGAATCCAGGCAAAAACAGGAGGTGGGATCAGGGAGTCCCAGGCAAAAGGAACAGCGTTCAAAAAGCCTCTTTTCCTGAGGCAGGAGAGACATTGGCTTAGGAGTAGATCTAAAAGATGACCCAAGTGGTTACCCTGGTGAGCAAAGGGACAAGGGACAAGCTGAGGTGGGAAAGCTGGGCAGGCCTTCGGGTTACATTCTAAGTGCAAAAGTGCCACTGACCCAGATGTGAGAGAGGAAATCACCACTGAGCTGCCCATGCAAAATTCCTAAGCCAGAGCCAGAGCCAGAGCTCTGTGGAAGGAACAGATAGGAGACAGGGACAGCCCTTTCCTTAAGTTCGGAGTTTTATGTAAGGTATTTCCTTGCAGTTTTCGATCTTTCCTTTCCTATTCAGTTCAACCTTTCCGTATCCCACTCCTCCCATGAGTGGAACAGCTCACATAAATTAAAAGGCCGTTAAAGGCAGAAAACCCAAACCATGGAAAAGGGAAGCAAGCAATAAGACAAAAAGTACAAGTTTCCTGGCAAGCAAGGCCAAAAGGGAAGCATCATCAGCTCCATAGCTTTCCTTGTCAATGTCAACACTTCCAGGGCTCTGGAGAAGAAAATATTCTTCTTGATCTCACACTCTCTGGGGAAGAAAGAAATTACACACAGAATGAAAATTAAAACAACCCAAGGTCAAAACTACAGGACTAAACAGTGCCCCAGAGCCAGGCATGGTGATGCACACCTGTAATCCCAGTGCTCAGGAAGCTGAGGCAGGAGAATGGCTGTGAGTTCAAGGCCAGCCTGGGCTACATAGTGAGACCCTGTTTCCAAAAAAAACCCCAAAAATGAGGACATTGAGGATCAGAGAGGTTAAGCTGTGTGCCAGGTCACACAGCAAGGATTCGGTGGATCTGGGGCACTAGGCTGGCAATTCACTGGTTCTAGAGCACACATCTCCAACAGTGGTCTCCTTGCAAGGTCTCTACCTTCACCCCCTAATTTTCCTCCACTCGGTGGAGAAGGTAGAGCTGAAGGAAAGCTCCACCCCTAGAGGCCAGACCCCGCCCCTTGGCTCACCCTTCCTCCCCTCCTCCCCACCTCCTTCTCTCTGCTTGTCTGAGCTCCACGGTGTGGAAGCCATGACAGCCAGGCTGGACTCTCCCCAGGGTAGCCTGTAGAGACAGCAGCTTCTCCTGAAGTGACCAGCAAGGTGCCAACAGAGGTGAGGCTCAAAGTGGTCATGAAGGACAAGGAGGATTCATCCCAGGGGCTCCTCAATGGCAGTCATTGCTCACTTGTCACTTGCTTGGCACATGCCAAAGCCCAGCAATCTCAATAAGTTGAATTCAATTGGACTGAACTGAGTTGAGTTGAAATGAACTGTGCTGAGCTGAATTTGCAGGATGGATGCATGGATAGATGGACAAATGGATAACTGGATAGATTCATAGATTTAAAAAAAAAAAAGATGGATGGAGCCAGGATTGGTGGCACATGCCCGTAATCTCAGCACTCTAGGAGGCTGAGACAGGAGGATCATAAATTCAAGCCCGACCTGGGCAACTTAGCATCTTAGTGAGATCCTTTCTCAAAACAAAAACATAAAAGGGGTTTCAGATGTAGCTCAGCACAAAGCCCCTGGGTTCAATCTCCAGTACCAGAAAAAAAATGGATGGATGGATGACCATGTAAGATGAATGGATTGTTGGTTAGATAAAAGGACAAATGAATGGATGTTGGATGATAGGACGGATGCATGGGAGAGGATTTGGTGACCATACCGCGTCAGGAATTCTGGTAAGTGAAGGCCCAGAGGTAGAAATGTCCAAGATGTTTGGAAACACTGAAGAAATCGGTGTGACCTGGAAACAAGGGAAAAGGATCAACATGTTTCCCCACCTAGGGAAAGGTGGGTGCACTGTTTGTGGGGTGAGGGACACGCGCGCTCAGCGGGTGGCTGGGCAAGGAGGAGTTAACAGCAGGATGTCTGCCCGGCCAGCTGCGACCAGAGTGACACTGACAGATTACAGCGTGTCCTCTGCACTAATAACACTGCGGTGTCCTCCTCCTGCCGCTCCCAGCCAGTGCCGGCCTGGTGGATCAATACCAACAGGCACACACTGAAAATCCTCAGCCGACTGCGGGAAGCTGGGGCCTCAGAGATCAGTGCATCGCCTGGGGCGGGGTGGCAGCTGGCACCTTGTCATCCCCTGCCCCAGGCCAGGCCAGGCAAGCACAGCCCTCTGCAGGACTCAGGGGTGAAAGAATCCACCTCCTGGCCGAGGCATCGAAACATCCCTGTGCCGCCCGTCTCTCCTTCCTCAGCCTCCCCAAGCGCCGAAGCCTTCCCTGGACAGCGCTGGGGATTACTGTCCTCTCCCCTGGCAGGAGTTAATCCTGCCTCTTATTTGCCCTTGGGCTTCTGCTCCCCAGTTGCTTCCTCTTCCCTAGCCACTGCTCTTTCCGGCTCTCAAACCATGCAGCAATCCAGTCCTTCGGGTGTTGTCACCCCCATCTCCCAGATGAGGGGGTGAGACTCAGAGAGGTTGAGTAACACACTGAGAGTCACACTCCACACAGTGCCTCAGCCGGGGCTTGAACCCAGGCCCACCAGCTTCCACTGCCCCCTTCCTGCCCAAGGACACACAGTTTCAAAGTTTCCATATGTCCCTCTTGACCTCAGATAAGACCTGAGAGGACTTAGCTGGCTCTCACTGTCCCCCGCCCAGGGGAGCCAGAGGGACCTGCCTAAGGTCACCAGAACCAAGGAGCCGAACAGATTGGGCGCAAGTCCTCCCTCATCAGAATGGGCTCCGAATATCGTTTCTGATGGAAGGAACCCAGGAGTCCTTGGAGACTCGGCTGGTTCAGGCCAGGGACAAGGAAAAGGTGGGAGGAGCCCACAAAAGCCTCTTGTTCTCCTAGGGACCTCGAAAGCGATCAGCAGCTCCAAGGCCAGCCCCAAGGCTCGGGGTCCAACTGCACGGAGCCATCTGCAAACTGGCTTCAAACAGAGGAGGCAAGAAGCAAGCAAAATAATGTATCTATGACATTTTAGCACAGGTATCGTAAATTGCATGTGACATCATATGGGGACCTGCCCTGCCTGGGAGAGCACTATACACATGGCCATGGGTCACATGCAGCCCTGGGGACCCCGGGGAGGGATCCGCACCCAGCCCAGACCCCAGCTCCCTGGCTGTCCCTGCACAGTGTAGGACAGAGCACCGGTTGTCCGCGTGCCCTGACCTGCACCACAGCCGGGAGGAGAAGGACTGGCCCGAGACCCTGGCCCAGCACTCTGAGCCCCTGAGCTGCCGCCCCTCCAGCCCTGCCCGAAGGAACTGCTTCAGGAGTCGGCAGGAGCCCCAGCATCCCGACGGCCCCCCCACACTCACAGGCCTCTCTTGTCTACCTTGTCCTTGCTCCTTGGCCCCTCTCCAGTCCCCACTGGCCCGGCCTCCTTGTCTCCTCCATCAGCCCCCAGGTCTGGCCCCACCATTGCACAGGGACCGCTGGGCATCCACAGCCCGGTGCACCCACCAAACTGCTCAAACTCTAATTTAGTGGTAACACTTCATACTCACCAAAAATTCAGGATGGAGGTGTCTGCTGGCTGACCCCAAAACTCATGCTGTGACCAATACGTGCTGTCTCCTCTCACCCTTCGTGGCTATCTCTGGAAAAAAAATATACATTGCTAGAAGAAGGCAAGAAATGATAAGAATGGTCACCTCTGGGACAGGGGCTCGGAGCAGTCCCGTCAGGGAGGCATCCTCGCTGGGTGCCTCAGAACCTTTTGAATCTTGTACCACGCGCATGAAAATCTATACAAAGTGAATGAACCTGCTTCCGCAAAGGGGGCCGTTAAAATACAAAAAAGACAAACCAGATGTGGTGGCACATGCATGTAATCCCAGCTACTCAGGAGGCTGAGACAGGAGGATTGAAAGTTCAAGTCCAGTCTAGGCAACTCAACAAATTAAAGAGACCCTGTCTCAAAATAAAAAATCAAGAAGGGCTGAGGATGGAGCTCAGTGCAAAGGCCTTGGGTTCAATTCCAACACACACACACACACACACACACACACACACACACACAAACACACACCAAGTCTCGACTTCACCAATGCTAGTTTTGTGACCTTAGACAACTACTTGCACACCCCAAGTCTCAGTTTACCCATCTGTAAAGCAGGATGATGGCCATACCTGCCTCGTAAGACAATGACCAGCATTCAGGAAGCACAGAGCACAGTGCCCTACAAGCAGTAAGGGGCAAGTTGCCCCAGTGAGTTTTCTGGTTCCCCTCCTCCGTGAAACCCAAGCTCCCTGACAGCAAGAACCATGGTATTTGACTGTGGACCCCAGAGTTTGTCAGCTCCCAGCATGATGTTCCCCTGACCTTCGGAGCACAATCTGCAGCCCCCAGGGAAGTTTCTGGACCTGCTGTCTTCCCACCGCACCTCTTGCTGGTCTTCATATTTGATGTGGACATCCTAGGACAGCCCCAGCCTGGGCATGGCCACTGCCCCTCTGCCTACAGGTACCTTTCTTTGCCCCTGACCTATCTGTGGCTCATCTCACCCTTGAAGGCCACTCTTCTGCTCATGGCCCTTGGTACAGATCAAGCTACTCCTTCCCAACTGTATCATTAGCTATTCGCCCTCCAGGGAGACCAGGCTAGGCTTTGCATCTCAGCCCCTAGTGCTCAGCATGAAGCAGGCACTTAGGGAAAAGTCTGTTGAATGAGTGAATGAATGAATGAATGAATGAATCATCCATGACCTCTCAGCTATGGGCAGCCTTCAGGGACCCAATTATGGTGAGTCACTGATGCCCTGCAAATGCTGCGCGTGGGCAAAGGCATGACCTCTCTTTGCAGTGTCCCCACCAGCTCCAAGCCAGCAGCTGCTCCTCTCAGCCCGAGAGAGCACCCAGAGCTCTTCAGGCCCCACTGGAGCTGCAGCTTCACTGCTCCACACCGCAGCCTCCAGGAGCTGAGCACCTGCAGAGAGCCCAGCCTCTCCTTTCCCTGCTGCAGAGGTCGCCAAGGCCCTTGACCCAGAGCTGGGCTAGGAGTGGGGACAGAAAGACAATGATTTTCAGCCCCTGACCTCAAGGACGAACAGGCCAGGAGGAGCCAGTCACCAGCTATGATTCACTGAATGCCTAGTGTCCGCTCTGCACTGTGCAAGTCCCGATGCCTCTCCGTGCCTCAGTTTCTCTTCAAAGGGGGTGGAAAGAGTACCCTGTCTTACACATCAGGACTGCTGGGCAAACGGAGCCAGGTAATTATGAAAATTGGTCTTTAAACTACAAAGCCTTGTACTAATGTAATTACTGCTGTTATTTATGATTTACACATCTTAACACACACTAATGAACAACTAAAACCCTCTGCAGCTATAAGGACTTGCACATAGTAGGTGTTTAACTGATATTTGATGCACTGAAATGCAGCCCAGGCACTGGCCGTGTTTTCATGACTTGGGGAGGAGCGCCACCCAGTGGCCTGCATGCAGAACGCATGGACTTTCTGGTACTTGGGACTTCATGGGGCGCGGGCTGCGGAGGTCACTTTAGAACAAATGCAAAGAAAAGTCAGTCGGACACCATAGAACATGGGGACATTTCTTCCCCTTACAGTAGTACAGGTTCAGGATACAATCGGGTGGTATAAGAGTTTGAAGCAATATTCTATTTATGCGTTTCTAGGAGAAATAGAACACTCAAAAGCCTCCTAACCCTGTGTTCAGGGCCAGGCCCTGTGAAAGGTGGTACTCATTCTTCATCTAAGATTTAAACGTGGCTCTGCCACTCACATGCTGTGTGACCTTGAGTAGACTGTTGCCCTCTCTGGGCTCCAGTTGTCTCATCAGTGCAATGAGGTCATGAGCCCAGCTGCCCTGGCCACCCTGGCCTCAAAGAATTGTGGTGAAGATCAAACAGAATTTTTTTAAAAGCACAAGTAGTTTATAAATGGTGAAGCGCTCACAAGCATGACAGATGGTGTTATTATAATCTCTAATCATAGCCATAAGTTCAATTAATCTTTAAACTCATTTAATTCCCACCAAACCTTACAAAACAGGCACTTTGAAGTTCCTTTTGTAGATGGAGACGTTGTGGTTTGGAGAAATTTGAAGCTTTTGTTTTGTTTTGTTTCGTTTTTGCAGTACTGGAGACTGAACCCAAGGCCTTCACACTGAGCTATGTCTGCAGCCCTGTTTCAATATTTTTGTTTTGAGGGCTGGGGATTTAGCTCAGTGGTTCTGCTGCCTGCCTCACAAGCACAAGGTCCCGAGTTCAATCCCTGGTACCAAAAAAAAATTTTAATTTTGAGACAGGGTCTTGCTCAGTAACTAAATTGCCCAACTTGGGATCCTCCTGCCTCAGCCTCCCAGGGTGCTTGGATCACAGGTGTGGGTCACTATGGCCAGCAGAAGTTTGCAATTTTGCCCAAAGTGACTCTCAAATAATCAAGAGGAAAACCAGGATTTGAACTCAAAACACTGGAGCCCTCAAAGGGGGATGGTCAAACACAATGCTATCTTATCTCAATTGTTCCATCAAAAAAGAAGAAAACAGTTAAGTTCAGCTACTGAATGGGGACTCAAAGGGAGCCCCGACTTACAGGAATGAGGACTCTGAAAAAAGCCAAGAAAGTCTTGCCTCTTCTCCTCTTTTGCTTCCTTCCCATCTCACCCCAGCGCTGCCTTTAACCTGGGAGCCTTCTGGAAGAGGAGGCCGCACTCACACCCACGGTCAGAGGCTCAGACACACCCTTCCAGGCAGATGTGGGGGTGGGCCCCCTCCAAGGTCACAGGCAAGCAGATGGCACCGAAATCTGCTGGAGGAGGTGGCTATTTTTCAGCCGTCGCAGTGACCCTCACATGTCCAGCACGCTCGAAAGCAATGGTTGTCTCAATATTTGGCCATCGGAACTCTCCTTCGAGGGCAGAATCCCCAGCCTTGTGTGATGGGAGGAAACAGGGTCCAGATTAAGGGGCTTATCTGAGGCCAGACTGCAAATGAGTGCTGAGACAGGCCTCGGGTCCAAACCCCGAAGTTCAGACCTTTCCACTCCCAGGCAGGAAGAAGGGAGGTCCGGAATTGCCTCCCATCCTCAGTCTCGGTTCTAGCGCCTTTGCCATCAGCGGCTGGTGACCTCAGACCAGCCACGGAGCTACTGAGGCTCGCTTGCTTTATGGCAGAGATCCCTGCCAGCTCTGGGGCTGTGTCCTTTATTCCCGTCCTTGAGCCATAAAGATGAGAGTGTTCAGCAGTCTCTGCGGGTTTTGCTGAGAAGCAGCTGTGACTTCGCCTCCCTTGGGAAGCTTTTCCTGACTCCTCGGGCTGAGTTATTATCCTTAGTGCTCTCGCAGCACCCATCATGCTGAACTGCAGTTTATCTGCAGATCCCCAGAGGGCTGCGCAGTGAATGTGCGTGAATACAAAGAGGGCTGGGTGTGGACAATAGGGAGTAGTGGGGACTGCGGCAAAGCAGAAAGCCCCTGGCTGTGGGGGCAGTGCCTAGTCAACGCAGTTCTTAAGAGAAGCCCCAAATCTGGATATGTATGTGAAATCTGCCATCTAAATATGATCTCAAAATATTATTGGGGGGGTGGTAAGACATGGTCTCACTGTATTATCCAGGCTGGCCTCAAACTCGAGATCCTCCTGTCTCAGCTTCCCGAGTGTTAGGATTACAGATGTGCACCACTGCACACAGCTCAAGATATATCTCATTAAGTGCCTTGCAGTTGTTATACCCAGGGATTAGCCACATCTGGTTTCCCCACTAGACTCTGAGCTAGTTCTGAACACGCCTGGGTCCCTCTCAGAATGCTGAGTGACCAACCCAGGGTTTGTGTCCCCCCGAAGTGGGACAAGTCATTGGCTTGGAAATGTTTGTTGCAAGATCCTGTCCTGCTCAAAGCCCCTCCCCTCCAGATTTCTGGCAACCACCTCGATCCACTGACATGGATGAAGTGTCCATTGCTTGCCAGGCACTTTGGGGGGGGGGTAACCAGGGATCGAACTCAGGACCTTGTGCTTGCGAGGCAGGTGGCAGAACCACTGAGCTAAATCCCCAGCCTACCAGGCCCTGTCTTAAACACAGTAGCTGCAGCCTCTGACCTAATTCTCACTGCCTGCCTGGGTGGTGCACACTACGATGTCATCCATTTCACAGATGAGCAAGCCGAGGCTCAGAGAGCCACAGAACTTGCCCAAGGTCACACGGTTAGTAGTAAACCTGGGAATCAAGGTCAGGCATTCTGACGCCACAGACAGCTGCTCGCCTTGCCTGAGACCCCCTGAAACAAAGCCTCTTGGTACCTCCAGGATAGTGGGGACCAGGGAGTGTGGCACAAACCAAGAGAACAACACTGCTCTGCAGAAAGCGACCTGAGGTTCAGCAAAGGGCCCCTACTGGCCAAGAACTGCCCAGACAGAACAAGCAAAAATCAGTGTTTACCTTTGGTCCCAGGACACCAGACCCCAGCTACCAACAGAAGAACAGGTGGGCAGAGAGGAGGAGGCAGGAGGAGGCCTGGCTATTGCTCATCCCATTGAAACTGTCAAACACTCTATAAATGAACTAACTGGTTCTGAAGGAAATGGGAATCTATTTTGTCTCCTGTCGCCAGGGCTGCAAACCCTGATATATCTTGGGTCCAGCAGAGGAGTGGATGGCTCAGCATTTGGAGAGATGCCCACATGAGGCAGGAAGTGGGCTGCAGGACGCAACAGGTACCTCTCTATTCTGAGAGCCGGTCCTGTGATGGGTGAGTGTACATCCAGCTGAAACAAAAAATAACTCTGAATGCCAGCCATCAGAACGTACAGTGAGCCTCCTTTTCTTCCAGTGGATTGGAGCATTCACTGGGGCTTTAATCCTTCCAGGTTTTCTATTTTTACATTTTCGCTGGGGCAGCAAAGCGCTTGTGAGGCTGGGATGGGCTGGTGACTCAAAAGCATCCTTTGCCCAGGTACATCCTCCAACGGGCTAATAAAATGCTCCAGTTCCACAGGGAGTCTGCCTGGGGCACCTCAGTCTTCCTCATCTCTAAAATGGGGCTAGTGACCTCTACCTCACTGAGAGAGAAAAACATGACATGGGTTATAATTTTAAATTCTCTGAATTTTAAAAAGGTTTTACACTGGGCCTACCACATATTAGGCATATGCCCAGCGATCTCTGGGGCAGTGGTCCATAAAACACTGACTTGTTTTGGAGGCAGGATCTTGCTAAATTGCCCAGTTTGGTCTCAAACTTGTGACTCTCCTGCCTCGGCGTCCTGAGTAGCCGGAATGACAGATGTGTGCCACCATGCCCAGCAACTCTTGAATTTTTCTGCAGCAAAATGTAGAAATAGTCACACTAGATGGGATAAGAAAAAGACTCTAAATTACCTTGCATCCAATTCACATTGAGTTTACCAGCAAATGGCTGCTCCAATTTCATCATTCTGGTTTTCAGAGGCTTGGGGACCTGAGAATTGAAAATGAGGTTTGCAAACACACCTGGCTTTCCACTCCCATTGACCTTTGGCTGTCCTCCTCCTGTCTGTAAAAGGTGGTCCTTAGAAGTCCAGGGGAGGCCAGGGATTTAGCTCAGTGGTTTCGCTGCCTGCTGCGCAAGCACAAGGACCTGAGTTCAATGCCCGGTACCAAAGAAAAAGAAGCCCAGGGGAGAGGCGCAATGTTCCACAGGAAGCAGGGCTGACCAGACCAACAGCCCCCCGAGCCCTTGCAAGTCCCCTGCAGGATAAAAGGTTTCTGTCTGCACATGAGGCAGAGGCAGGTTCCCTTTAATCATGGTTCTAATCCGGTGCATACACAGAAGGTCCATTAGGAGTGGAGAGCACAAGAGATACAACTGCCCACAACACTGGGGACTTTGGTCCCGCTGACCAGGCCTTGCTCCCTGCTCCACGGTCTCCCAGGGCTGCTGCAAAGAAGGAAATTAGAACAAGCAACAGCTTGAGTCAAGGAAGCCATTATCACCAGAGCAGCGTGTGGCCCCCTCTCTCCTGAGGTGACAGCTTCACCCAGGAAACAAGGACCATGCAGGAGCCAGCGCAGCCCACCCCTGGGCATGCCAGCCATGGCTCTGTGACTGTCCCCTCACTATCCCTTCCTCTGAAAGGGTCCTCTACTCACTGTTTCTCCAAAGAGGGTACAAGGGAGCTGACTGGGGTTCCCTTAATGAACCAGGATCACATTCCAGGCACCCCCTTTGGCCTGGTTCCCTTGGAAACTCCTGGCATGTGATGTGTCCCAAACTCTTCAGTCACAGTTTACAGGTAAAGGCCAGATGTTACGACCCTATGATGGCCACAGCGCTACCCCAACCCGCCATGCTCCTCGAGAATCTAGTGCCTTACCCAGAAGACTTTGCGCTTCTCTCCTGTTCCCTGGACTCTGGGCAGACTTCTGACTCGCTGGCAACCCACAAGTTACAGGGGTGAAATGATGCTGCAAGACTTCGGGGTCCAGAGCCTGGGTGTCGATGCAGCTCCCAGCTCCCCACCAAAATACTTGCTCTGAAGCCTTCAGCACCCAGGTGAGCAGTCTGATGGCCCCAAGGCCGCCACGCTGGGAGGAAGCCCAGACTCCCTATGAGGACCTGCCACATTCTGTCCACCCCGAGACCAGGTGGACACGGAGAGAAGGAAATGTCTAGCAGCCACCAGCAGCTCCAGCCCTCCCACGTCTAACAACAGCGGCTCAAGAGCCCCCAAATAGAATCCTCCTGCCCAGCCCTGCCCTAATTATTGCCCCACAGAAACCAGGCACAACGACAGAAGTGCTGTTGTTTTATCTGCTAGTTTTGAATTTTTATTAGTGCATGTCTGCTGCACAGGATGATCACATTCATGGAGGGCAGCTGATACACGTATGGAACACATCTCCATTCTTTTCATTCCCTCCCTCCCCCACCATCTCTTCTGGACCCCCTTTCCATTTACAAAGGCTCCGTTTCCCTATTTCCTATTATCTACCTTTTCTTTTGCCCTTTATTTATACTTAAGTTTCACATGTAAGGGAAATTTTATGATAGTTAAGCTTGTATGTCTGATTTAGTGCACTTAATATAATGGTCTCAAGATACATTATTTTCATACATGACTCAAATTTATCCTTCTTTATGACAGAGCAGTACTCCATTGTGTATGAATACCACATTTTCTTTATCCGTTCATTTGCTGATGGACATATAGGCCACTTCCAAGATTTAGCTATTGTGACTTGTGCTGCTATAAATATGAGTCTGCATGTTTCACTGTAATATGATGTCTTTAACTCTTTCAGGAAGATACCTGCAAGGGGAATAGCTAGGTCAAGTGGAATCTCTACTTTTAGTTTTTTGAGGACTCTCCACACTGATTTCCATGGTGGTTGCACTAGTTTACATTCCCATCAACAATGTAGAGCTACTTGTTCCTCCATAGCTTCACTAGTGTTTGTTAGTATTTGATTTCTTGATGGTGGCCATTCTTTCTGGGGTAAGATGGAATCTCGGTGTTGGTCTGATTTGTATTTCTCTAATGGCCAAAGATGCTGAGTATTTTTTACATACGTATTGGCTACTTGTAATTCTTCTTCTGAGAAGTGCCTGTTCATTTCAATTGCCCATTTTTGATTGGGTCTATTATTTGAGGGATCTAATATTTTTTGAGCTCTTTTATATATTCTAGATATTTGTCCTCTATGCGAAGAGTAGCTGGCAGAAAATTTGCCCCCTTCTGTAGGTTGTCTCTTCACTCTGTTGGTTATTTCTTCTGCTGTGCAGAAGTTGTTAAATTTGATGTGGCCCCCTTCGTCGACTCTCAATGTTCTTTCTTACGCAACTGGGGTTCTGGTCAAAAAGTCCTTGCCTATGCCTATGTCTACAGAGATTTACCTATTTCATCTTCCAAGCTGCTCTTTTGAGTGGCTTCTTACACAGAAACAGAAAACAGAGCATAGGGCTCAGCTACCTCCCTACCCCAAGGGTGACCAGACCCGCAGTTTATGAGGGACAGTTCCAATGGACACCTTTCTCCTGGCATAATTACTGACAGTGATCCCTTCTCTCCCAAAGTCCCTCATTCTGATGGTAAATTTCGTGGTCACTCTACATTTGGCCAAGCTCTCAGGGCTCAGCTCAGAGCCTGGCAGCCGCTCTTCTGCTCAGTCTAGCAGGATGGGTGGAAACGCACGAGGTGCCTCACCCAGAGTTCAAGAAATCAATGCTCCTTCTCTCCTCCTCATTCTGTTCTGCCTGGATGCTCAGCAATAGTTTTGCCAAGAGATGGCTTCAGGAGCAGACTCAGCCCCTGGAAATCTACAGAGCACCTTCCCCCAGCACACACGCACCCCAGGTAAAGACAGGGCATCTGATACACAAATGCAGCTCCAACGCAAGCCCCAGGGTCCCCCACAGGAGGACTCTTCCATGGGAGAATTCTGGGGCTACCGCTGCCACTCTGGGTGGGAAGGGACTGAGTACAATAGGGAGAGCAGGCAAGAAACAGAGAGAAAAAAAAAACACTCCCAGGAAAGATCTCCACCACCCTGTGAGGTGGGGGAGCTGAGCACACAAAACTGCTCTCAAATGCTAATTCTGCTGCTTGCTCAGTGGGCCAACTCCCCAACTGCCCAGAGCCTCCTTTGACCCCTCCATCAACAGGAAGACTGCTGCATGTCTGGGGAGCTCTCAGAAAGAACCAAAGAGGTGATTCTTTATGTAAAGCACCCAGCACCACGCCTGGCAAGTAGCCAGCACTCAATAAGCGTTATTTCCCTTTGTAAGGCATTGCAAGTTCCCATTAGAAAGTGCACTTGTCTTACCTGGGCAAAGGTCTTCTTAGGACAGAGCAGTAGAGCACAAAAGGTAGATCAGAAAACAGCAATGATGGCTGGGGATTTAGCTCAGTGGTTTCGCCACCTGCTGTGCAAGGACAAGGACCCAAGTTTACCAAAAAGAAAACAGCGATAGTGACCCTCACTTATGGACGTGACCTGCAGGGATGTAAATGGAGAGCATAGCAGGCCCTGGTGCTCCTCCCTTCAGTGTAGAAAACACTTTTGTTGTCAGCTAGATGGGGAGCTCTCTGAAGACACGAATCTCACTTTACTGATCATTATACACACAGGGTCCAGTAACAAAGGTGGCTCCTGGTAATGCCAGTGGAATGAACCATCTCACACCAATTTCTATCCTTTCATTCATTAATCCAGTCAATAAATATTTATTGTCCACCTACTCAGTGTCAGGAGTTGTAGCAACTGGGAACACAAACTTATTCCTATCCCATCCCTAGGGTGTGTGATCAAAGAGACATTCTATTAGTTTTCCATTGCTGTGACGAACACCTAAGATTAAACAACTTAAAAGAAGGAAAGGTTTGTTTTGGGTCATGGTTTCAGTGGATGGTTGCTTGGGCCAGGAGTGCATGGCAGAGAAAGCTGCTCATCTCAGTGTGGCCAGGAAGCAAAAAGAAAGAGGCAGGAAGGGGCCAGGGCCCCCATATGCCCTTCAAGGCCACACCCCCATGACCTAACTTCCTCCCCCCAGGTTCCACCTCCTAAAGGATCCACCACCTCTCAACCACAACACAGCCTGAGGCCAAAGTCTTCAGCACATGGGCCTTCATGGGACCCATCAGATCCAATCTAGAGCAGACATACATGACCCAATCAGCACAGCTGATTAGCAATAGCTAATCACTATAGCTAGTGTCAGGAAGAAACACTGGGAGGGCAGGGCAGGGAAGGAAGTGACGGTGTCCCCTAGGAAGTAACATATGACCAAGAGCTGAAAACAATGAAAGTGCCCTCCCAGCAGGGACAGCAGCTTGTCCAGGTCCCTGGGGGAAAAGAAAGGGCAAAATTGAGGCCCTGAAAGAATGCAGCCCAGCAGCTCCGAGCAGATGTCCAAGCCCAAGGATCAAAAGCAGCTCATCACCTGGCCAAGGGCAGCTTGGAGAGGATGGGTGACGCTGGGGGCAGAAGACAGAGGACAGGGAGCCTGTGCTCAGGAAGGGGAGCCACGCGGGAGGAGGTGAGAAGCCCCAAAGAGGAGGGTGTGAACCTGGCAGGGAACACAGGGGCTGTTGTTACCACTCCTAGGCCTCAGGAGAGAGGAGACAGGAGAATTCCCATGGTGGTCATTATGTTACAATTCTGACAACATGAAAGGCATAGGAAATGAGGACCCAATAGGTCCTGGGGGACACCAAGACACAGACAAAGCAACCGAGGGCGTTCACAGCAGAGGAAAGAGCTCCCTGGCACCAAGCACTTCCAAGCAGAGGTGGAGGCGGCCAGGCAGCCAGTGACAAGGAAGCGCCTTTCTCGAATGAAGGTCGGGCAGAGTAGACAGATGCTAAGAGCACCCTTGCCAGTCCCACCCAGGCCACATGTAAGAAGGAAGGGCCCTGACCCTCCCGGGGCTCTCCTGCTGCATCCCCACCAGCTCCTTCCCATCCCCTAGGTCCCTCTCAATGCCACCTTCTCAGAGAGCCCCCTGCACTCCCACTATAAGTGCTGCAAAGCACTTCTAACACACAGCCCTGTGGTGGCTTCTTCACTCAATTCTCACGAAAGCCCTTTCCCACTTCCCACCTCCCTACTAAAAGGTACCTCCTCGAGATCGAGGGCCCCTCGCCCATCTTCCTTCCTTGCTGCACTCTCCACACCTCGCTCTCTCTCTATGCCAGGCACCCAGAAGGAGCTCAGGACTGTATGTTGAACGAGTAAATAAATGAACCCAGGCTCTGTCTTTCAGTAGCTGTGTGGCCTTGGGTTAATTAAATCACCTTTCTGACCACCTGTAAAATTCACATTAAAATATTGTAGTCATGAGGCTCAAATAAAATTCAGAACTTTGTCACATACATTGGTGTCCTACTGGTAGCCATTCAGTTGCCCAAAGACAAGGTGCATGCCTGTCCAAACTGGAAAGACGCTGTGAAAGGCTGGAGGAGCAGAGAGTCCGGGGTCAAGAGGTGGAAATACTGGTAAGAGAACCAGGCAGGAGGCCAGCACAGCAACGGAGGACTCTGCCCAGTACTGGGGACACATGGAGGAGGTGCTGTGCTCAGAGGTCACTCAAGCATCCCACAAAGCTTTTCTGAGGACAACCCTGAGGTAAGCACCATTTTAGGTGTTGGGGGGACAAGGGAGGACAAGACATATAAGGTCCCAAGCCTCCTGAGGAGACCGGAAGTAAACAGGGTAATTTCCAGTAGAGATAAATGCTGGGAACCCAATTTAAAACACTAACAGGATACGCAGAAGAGTAGAACCCAGCTGCCCTTTGAGTTTGGAACTCCAGTAGCTAAGCCTGGAGCATCTCTCTGGGCCTCTGTATCCTCATCTGTACAACATGCATGACAGGCCCCATCTCCCAGGGCTGTGGTGAGAATTAGACGAGAGAAGCTTATGCCTCTGGAATAGCACCAGGTTGGCTGCAAGCTCTGTAAAAGCCAGCAAGAGTGAATGAGAGCTAGGTGAGGCCACAGAGAGAGTGGCAGGGAAATGCCTATCCCATGAGGGTACAAGCTTGAGAAGATCCAGGTGACATGGACCCTCAGAAGACTGCAGGTAAGGGTCTTGAGGCAGGGGTTTGGAGGTGAAGTGTGACTGAGGAAGAGGAAGTGCTAATGGAGGGGTGCTCCTCAGGCCCTTGGAGGCCAGGGAGGAGGATGGGCCAAAGGGAAGACACTGAAGAATTTTCAGGTGGATTCGGAGAGAGGGGTCATGCTCTGATTTGATGTAAAGGAGGGTCAACCAGCTGCCCTGTGGAGAATGGAGTGGGACAGACAGAAAGACAAGCAGAGGAGTGTCAGCTGGGAATAAGCAAGATCTCCCACCCAAGCCCAGGGACCCACTTCTGAGGAGATGGGACACTCCAAATCCTTCTCCATCTGGATGGAGTGGGTAGGGCTGTCTGGGATAGAATACAGGAGAGAGGCTGCAGCAGATGGCCTTGCAAAAGAAAAAAGAAAAAGAAGATATGATCCAAGCAATTCAGCAAAAGTACATTGCTCCTTATATTTTAAACACATTAGTTTACCATGGATCTTAATTATACTAACATTTGTTGAGTATTTATGTGTCCAGGGTAATGTGCTAAATTCATTTTCTCATTATATCTCATTACATCTTTCTATTCATTGCACAATTCAACAAATATGCATTACCAGACACCATTCTAGGTAAGACAAAGTCCCTGCCATTAAGCTTCCACTTCAAAAGGAGAGCTAGGGCCTAAACAAAGAAACAAACAGTAAGGGCCAGGGATTTAGCTCAGTGGCACTGCACCTGCCTCGAAACCACAAGGTCCTGAGTTCAATTCCTGGTATGGGGCAGGGGGGACAAACAATATTTCAGAGAGCCAGGAAAACTATGAAGAAAACAAAGCTGAGTAAGGGAGTGAAGAGAAGTGGAAGAAAAAAGAGGTATTTTAGGAATGGTGGTCAGAATGGGCTTCCTTGAGGAATCAGCTTATTTTTTCTGACAGTCCTGGGACTGAACCCAGCGCCTCACACATGCTAGACAAAGACTCTACCACTGAGCCATATACCAGCTCAGGAACTAACTCCTGAACAGATAATGTGACCAAGACAGCCATTGGTAAACCTGGGGTAAAGAACAGCAAGGACAGAGCCCCACTGAGAGAGAATGAGGCATTTAAGGTACAAAAGGAGATCAAGGTGGCCAGAGCAGGGTGAGCAGAGAATGGCAAGATGAAAGGTAAACAGGGACCAAACAAGACAGGAAGATCTTCCTATCTCACTCCAAGCAGGCAAATGGGAAGCTGTTAGATGATGGTGAACAGACTCCTTTGCCCACCAAGCAGACAAGCAACCTGAGAAGTGCAAGAGTGGATCCAAGCTGAGGAGAGATGATGGTAAGAAATGATAGCATTCAAGATGCATCTTGAAAGTGGGATAAAGACTTACAATGGAACAATGAATGGAAAGCCCCAGTGAACAGGTTTGGGACTGAGCATGATTCACCAGGTACCACCACAAACAAAAATTAGGAAAACTGGAGCCAGGGACTTAGCTCAGTGGTGCTGCGCCTGCCTCCAAGCACAAGGTCCTGAGTTCGATCCCCAGTACAAAAAAAAATTTAGGAAACTTGGAAGACAGCAAACTGAGAGAGAATTAATGGAAATAAATGACAGCTGCTATACTATCAACATTCTCATTTTAAATAGAAATACAGAGGTTTAGAGGAGTCAACCTGTCCAAGCTCACCCGGCTGGTAAAGAGGAATAACCATAAAGTGGAATTTACTTTCACATATATTTATTTTACCCTTTATTATCTCTCCAATTTACAGAGAAGGAAACCAAGGCCGAGATGTGAAGCCCAGACAACTAGGAGTGGCAGGACCTAAACATCGGATTTAATTAGACGTATTTTCCAAGAGACCAGCTGGGAAACTGTTAAGGAAACAGAGGGGTTCCTGCGGAAAGGATCTGGGGTTTCAATAAAATCACATCTTTTGATTCTTTCCTTTGAAACTTCCCAAGACTCCAGGAGGACACCTCAGAGTGAGAGGAAAGCACTGTCACCAACTCAGAATCACAATTGCTAATTGAAAAGTATATCCCTGGATTGCAGCTTAGATACACCGTACTTGACTATCAATCTGCGGAAGTAAGATCCGGGATCTGCCCTTTTTAAATTAGCGATCCAGAAATCTTCGTCGGCCAATTAAGTGTGAGAACTGCGGAATTAAGGTTTGAACCCAGGCAACCATCCCTGAAACTAGCTAGCAGCCTAGACTACGCCCGCCACTTGACACCGCTGAGCTTCCGTCGTCGTCTTCCCCCCCTCATCCCCCGGTCAACTAGGTGCGGAGAAGGCTCTGCCAGAGACATGCTGCTGCCTTCCTTTTGCAGGAAGATTCAAACTACGAAGCTGATGAAGAGGTGCCGGGGAACCGCGGGGTGTTCTGGGAAACAAAGGGGGGGGGGTCCCAGCTTGCGGTGATGCATTATGGGACACAGCGGGGTGTCAGCTGGTCCTGGACTCCAGCTTCGCTTGCACCTAAGGCAGCCACGTTTCAATTCCAGACGCCCTCTGTGGGCGTGGTGGATGCCGCCTGACGTAATCACCCTGTCTAGCGTCTAAGCGCCCCAGTGGCTAGTAAGAGAACCTACCAAAAAGCAGTGGCGGATTTCCGGGTGTACCTTCGCTTTAAGGCTCGTGGGATCTTTCGCCGAATCCGCGGGAAGTAGAAAGGCAGTTTACGACAGTGCCGGTCGTGTTTACGGCGCCGGCTTCTGCGCGCGCATGTTCCCTCCTCTCCCGGTCCTTCTGATTGCTGCGGGCAGGGCCTTCTCTGTCCCGGACCATCTGTCGCCATCCAGGCCGCCCGAGGCCTTTGCAGGTGAGCGGCGTATTTCGTGGTGTCCTGCGGACCTCTGGAACTAGCTCAGACTAGGCCTGGGCTTTGGGGGCCTCCCGGAAGGGACCTGTCTTCCGTCTTCCCTTGTCGTTGCTGTCCCTCCGCTGGGCGGGGCAGGAATCGGTCTTCGGCGGCCCCAGTCCGGCACGCTGAGGCTTGCGGGACACTGCCCTGTGTGTGAGGTCCTTCGCCTTAGTCTGCGCTCAAAGACCTTGTCACTTAACCCAGCCGGGTCACAGGGTATTCCAAAAGAGCCGAAGGGTCCTTGAGTTTCTCAGTGGGATATTACGAATGCCAAGCTGAGCGTATTCGGCCCTTGGTCTGAGGAGTTCAAGTCTGGAGATTTCCTCCCTGTTCTGTGAAGTGATCGGGTGTTAAGAGTCTCTCTCTGGTCTGAAATTCACCCCGCCTCTAGCCGAAGGATTAATGGCCTTTGATTTGTAGTGACAGTGATCAACACATTACTGTAACCTGCCAACCACAAGGGTCCTCTTACATCCCTGTTGGTGCCTCCCCACCCTGCCCCTGTGGCCAGTACAGCTGTCACATTGTTTTAGCTGAATGGTTCAGTTTCTTCTAGTGGTTCTTTTATATTTGCTGACGCCAAAGGGCATCATTTCTCGATTCTCCAAGGAAATGATGAACGGCAAGCTTTGGGGGTCTCTTATCCATCTTGCTTCAGACAACTAGATTTTGAAAGTATCTTCAAGACATCGTTGCTGTGTTGTTAGATGTGGTCTAAAAACGCCAGATTTTTTTAGGCTATTGCCTATTAACAAAGAAGGGCAGACTTAACACACACAACCCTGGAAATCAAATGTTTTTGAAATGTTGGGCAGATCAACTGCTTGATTTAGCTCAGCTTCAAATTATCTCTTAAATGGAAAGGTGAGGAGGTTACTGTTGGTAAAGTATCCACCATAGTACCTGACAAATGGTAGGAGCTTAATGAATTTTTTTTTTTTTTTTTTAGTATGGGGATCAAACTCAGGACCTTGCACTTGCAAGGCAGGTGCGATGCCACTGAGCTAAATCCCTGGCCCAGTAAATGTTTTCTTAACGTGAATAGCTTTGAGACCACCGGTCCTTCCCTTCTGTTCTCTTTCTGTAGCTTAGTTAAGTTCAGATTTGGAGGAAGCAGCTCTCAGCTGTACTACCTGTTGCTGTCACCCAAGTGTCATCTCTGTAGAAAGCCTGCATCTCTATCAAGGGGCACTGAGGAGAGGTTACTGAGTTCAGTGTAACTATGGTCTGATTGCTCTCCAGCCGTCAGGAAATAATTTGTGTAATGAGTTTTCTACTGGGAACTCACCTGAGCATTTTCAGAGGTTTGTCGTGGATCAAGCAAATACCTACTGTAGGGCTGCTGGTTTTCACTTTCCTGAGATGAGCTGCACCATTATACAGAGTACGGGTTCTGGAACCACACTGCTTGTGTTCCAGTTTTTCATCAGCTAGCATTGCAACTTTGGGTGATTTGTTGTTGTTGTTGTTTTGGGGGTTTTTTTGGTACCAGGGATCGAACTGAGGTCCTTGCACTTGCAGGGCAGGCGGTGGAACCACTGAGTTAAATCCCTGGCCTTTGGGTGATTTGTTAATTTCACAATGCCTTGGTTTTCTTGTCTGGAAAATGGGGATATTTCCGGCTCCTACTTCGCAAGATTATTGGGAGGGTTTAGTGAGTTAATGCATGGTAGGCACGAAGAACAATGCTTGATACTTGTAATAATTAACATTTGACATAACAGCCACTTTTGGCCTAAGACAGTGGTGGTGAACTTACGGTATGTGTGCCATAGTGGGCTGTTTGTATCATTGAAAGCTCTAAATGGTTTGCTATCACTGGCCTAAGATTTATGATGACCTCCTTGGCCATTTGGCAGGTCTTTTGCCTGGCTCTGTGTCCACTTGCTCTGCACATAGGATTTGCATTTGGAAGAATAAGAAAGGAAAATTGGATGTAAGGGAAAAAGTCCAGATCCTCTTAAGTACTCTGTATATAAATGTAGATTTGCAAGTCCGAATTGTGTGGCATTTTATTTAAAAAGCATTTTCATGTCTGCTACCTAACAAGACTTTCACAGTGATCCTATGGTATAAATTATTTATTTTGTAGATGAACACTCTGAGGCTTATGGAAGTTAAATGCTGTATGCCTTAGTGAAAACACCTTGGTTTCTGAGAACCAAACACTGGTTATTACATGTTAAAAAATGTTGCTAATGAAATCTGTAAGACACTGCTCAAGAAACACCATTTTATGTAACACTAGGAAAGACCAAGCTTCTGGTTGTGACATCCCATCCAGTGTAAGGTGCAGGCTCATTTCACAGCTGTTATAGTAAGAAAAGAGAGTGTCCTAGAATTAACGAAATGTGATAAATCAGTTTTGTTGTTTTCTGAGTTTTATGTATTCACCAAATTATTTACAAAACGTTAGTAGCTCAGTAGTTGAGGGTTCTGTTTTGTGTAGTACATTTTGAATTTTAGCATTTATGTCTTTGCTTATCCTATATAGAGGCTATTTTTACTTTGGGCCATTTCTTCACATTATTTGTTTTTTAAGTTCTAGAAGATGGCGAAGTTCATGACACCTGTGATCCAGGACAATCCCTCAGGCTGGGGTCCCTGTGCGATTCCTGAGCAGTTTCGGGATATGCCCTACCAGCCATTCAGCAAAGGAGACCGGCTAGGAAAGGTACTTGCCTGCCAGCGGTAGTCTGGATCGTTCAAGCTGCGCCTGCCACTTTCCACAAATCCCTGTTTTGTTTTATTTTCTCAAAGGCTTAGCTTAGCTTCTTTCTGAGTTCCCTACGTAGACAGTGGCTGAGAAGAGGTCTGACCTCTGAACGTCGTCAGAGAAGGGCTGGGCACATGCAAAGACGTTGTGAGCTAGTTCTCATACTTTGCCACACAGTGTCTCCTCATTCTCAGGGGTGTCTGGGGCAACAGAAATGTGCCCAGTTGAACTTTGTGTTCTCTGTCTTTCTTCATTGCCTTTAAAAGGTCGCAGACTGGACAGGTGCCACGTACCAAGATAAGAGGTATACAAGTAAGTATTCTTCAGTGGCTGCCCAAATCAGGGTCTCCCTTTAAACTACTGTGTAGTCCAGGCTGGCTTCAGTCTTCCTTCCTCAGCCTCCCGAGTGCTAGGATTACAGGCATGCACCACCACAGCTGGCTGTTGCTCCATCCGAAAGCTTCCTAGAAAGGAAAAGAGGTACTGACAATCACTGAGAATTTTTAGGGTATATTCTGGACTATAATAACCAGATTTTTGGAAGTAGCCTCAAACTGTTCATTAAAGAAGTCTGGACATTTTCATTGGGGTTTTGTCCCACTTTTTGAAAATCCGTTGAACACATTGCCATTCTGTATGTCGTTGATTGGGATTTACCTTCCAGAGCCTAGTCAGTGAACTCCAAGTTTAAAACCCCCGGTTTTAAGATCCTGGTAAGGTAAAAAGACTTTCTGTGTGCCAGTTAAGGTTGTTGGAAGTGGCTGCCTGGAGTCCTATATTAAGATGTCTGAGTGGGGCATGGTGGTGCACACCTGTAATGCAAGCACTCTGAGGGGCTGAGGAAGGAGGATTGCAAGTTTCGAGCTCACCCTGAGCGACTTAGTAAGACCAGTCTCAAAATTTCAAAGGGTGTTAGGGGTGTAGCTCAGTGAAGGGGCCCAGGGTTTCAATCCCCAGAGACATCTGGGGCTTAGATCAAAAGAAAGTATGCCAACGATCCATTAAACGATCTGTCTTGGGGGTCAGGTGATGGGAATGGTGGTGTGTATAGCCTGTGTTTACCTTTCCTGTCTCGAAAAGCTCTTTAGACCAGAGTGTTTCAAACTTGAAAGTGCATATGAATCACCTGGGGATCTTGCTGTTCCGATTCAGTAGGTCTGGGGTGGGCTGTGAGTCTGCACACCTCACAAGCTCCCTTCCAGTCAAAGGGTGAGGTGAGGTGTCAGAACGGTGCATGTTATACAGTTTGTGGTAGTAGTTATTACACGCTGTTGCCTGTGCTTCCAGATAAGTATTCCTCTCAGTTTGGTGGCGGAAGTCAGTATGCTTATTTCCATGAGGAGGATGAAACCAGTTTCCAGCTGGTGGATACGGCACGCACACAGAAGACTGCCTACCAGCGGAACCGGATGCGGTTTGCACAGGTGGGCCAAGTGCTGACAGCCTGACCATCTTGGGGCTATTAGTGTTGTTAAATATGCTACCTTGTGAATACTAAGGAGAGAGGACAGCGTACCACAGTTTTCTAGTGAATCCCAAGTGGTTGTTCTGTGAAAAACTTGTGCCAAAGTAAACTTGTACTAGGACCAAGGTTTGGTTTAGATTTCTGTTCCAGTAGCTTGGACGTCCTATGCTATGAATGGAAGTTTGTGGTGGATAAAAAGATGCAGGGTACCTATTGCCTCACTTTATTGCTATACCCAAACTTTATTAAGTAGATGGTCTGGTTGGGCTGCATCTTACTATGTAAAGAGAAATTCAGCAACTTGAATTTCAAGACCAGTAAACAAACCTCAGTGGAAAATATGTTGGGAATATAAATGTCAGCTAATTCCATACCCACTAAAAGTCTGACTATTGATGTGATAGAATAAAAGCACAGACTTAAGATGTGAAACTTTGGGAGCATTATATCCTGAACTTACTCTAAAAACCTCCCAATTCTCCCTCCCTATCATAAGCCAGATCTCTAAGATTTTAACATGGGTGTTTTCTTCCCAGCGGAACCTCCGTAGAGACAAAGATCGGCGGAACATGATACAATTCAACCTGCAAACCCTGCCTAAGAGTGCCAAGCAGAAAGAAAGGTGAGATTGCCTCCTAGAGCAAAGGCTGCTTCCTAGACTGCTCATACCCAGAGGTCGGGGGCCAAAGCTGGAGGGTGGCTGTTTCCCCACTAGAGAAACAGGTGAAAAAAATTCCTAAAGCTACTTAACACCACCATTCAGCCCCTTGTTTCCCAGCAGTCAGTTGCAGCAGATAGTTTAGGCAGGAAGCTGCCTCCTTGTGGTGGATATGTGCAGTGAAGGGACACAAAATGCCTTGTCTTTGCTCAGACCTGCAGAGCACAGTTCTAGGAAATCCCATTTACTCTGTCCTGTGCAGCCTCTTGCCTGTGAGTACAGTAGCTGCTATGCCCCAGGTTGGGGTTGCCAGGTACAATCCGTAAACATACAGCTAGTCAGTATTTGGGGGCCCCATCTCCAATGTGCCCGTGTGGTCTCTTCTGTAAGCCCATAACTCAGAGGAATCAAGGATGATGGTGCAGTTCTGCTGGGGAAGGGCAGCTTCTGCCTTTTTAAAAAGCCACTGACTTAAAGATCTGCACTGAGATCCCTGTATTCTGCCTTTCAGAGAACGTATACGGCTACAGAAAAAATTCCAGAAACAATTTGGTGTGAGGCAGAAGTGGGACCAAAAATCACAGGTAGTGGGTCCATTCCGGAATTCTGTCTGGGAGTTTGGTTTTGTTTCTATAACAGCTTTGAGATGATGCTCCATACACTATGCTGTTGAGTGACTTTTCGTGTATTCAGATTTGCACAACCATTATTATAGCCAATATCTGATCATTTTCATCAGCCTAAAAAATTCTGTACCCTTCAGCATCCCCCGCCCCATATCACCCCAACCTTAGGCAACCACTAATCTTTTTTATCTCTATATTTTCCGGTTCTGGTCATTTCACATAAATGGAATCATGGAATAGGTGTTCTTTTAGTGTCATGTTTTCAAGGTCCATCCATGTTACAGCATGCATTGGTATAGTCTTGGTATCCATGGAGGGTTGGTTCCAGGATGCCGCAAGAATACCAAAATTTGCAAACACTCAACTTCTGTTCCAGAAAACAGCATAGTATTTGCATATAACCTAAGCACATCCTCTTGTATATGTGTGACCATCTCTACATTATTTAGGCTGAATATCCCTTACCCAAAATGCTTGGGACCACAAGTGTTTCAGATTTTGGAGTGGACTACTGGTTGATCATGCCTAATCCAAAATCAGAAATGCTCTAAAAACAGAAACTTTGAGCTTCATTTCACATTCAGTTTCAGGTTTTGGAGCATTTCAGATTTTTGTGTAAGGGATGGTCAACCTATAATGGCCAATACAGTGTTGACATGTGAATGTTATGTAAGTAGGTTTTGTACTGTATTCTTTAGCAAATACCAACAAGGAAAAATATGTATACAGATGTGTTTTTTCCCCCAGAATGTTTTCCCCTTTTTTTCCTCCTCTTTGTTGTATATGTGTTTGTGTGTTTTTGAGATAAAGTTTCACTGTTGCCTAGATTGGTTGTGAACTCCTGGCTCAAATGATTCTTCCCCCTCAGCCCTGTAGCCCACAAATGGGACTCTAGGGGCACACATCCCACCCCCCAAATATTTTCAGTCTACAGTTAGCTGAATCTGAGGTGTGGAACCTATATACTGAGAGCAGATTATACTTTATTCTTCTCTTATTGTCAAATAAAATAGCCTTTTATGGATGTATCACATTTTGATGAGCCATTAACCAGTTGGTGGACATTGCATTTGTTTCCAGTTTCACACTGTTAGCAGTAATGCTGCTGTAATGCTCCTGTGGGTATTGCGCAAATAGTAGATCCATGTAAGCAAGAGTAAGTTACACTTTGCTGGATACAATGCTTGCTGCATGAAGAATAAATAGTCAGGGGCCAGGGATTTAGCTCAGTGGTTCTGCTGCCTTCCTCAAGCACAAGGTCCTGAGTTCGATCCCTGGTACCAAAAAACAAAACAAAAAAAGAATAAATAGTCAGGGCTGGAGATTTAGCACAGCGGCACCGTGCCTGTCTCGCAAGTGCAAGGTCCTGAGTTCAATCTCCGGTACTGAAGAAAAAAAAAAAGAATAAATAGTTAATACCCTGAGAGAATTATAAAGGTATCCTACATGTTTCCTCAGTGATGTCATCCCCTAAGAGTGAAATTCTTTATTTTTAAACTCCTGATTCCGTCAGTCTTTGTGGATGAGGTCCTATGAGTGGTAGGGGTTCTCTCTTCTGCTTAGTAATTTGTGTGGGCTGTAAGTTTTTTCCTCAAATGTTTTTCCACTACAGAAACCCCGAGACTCTTCAGTTGAAGTTCGTAGTGACTGGGAGGTGAAAGAGGAAATGGATTTTCCTCAATTAATGAAGATGCGCTACTTGGAAGTATCAGAGCCACAGGACATGTGAGTAGCATCTTTTACTGCTTTCCACCATGCTCCTAGGTATGTGGACCAGCTAGTGATGTGTGTTTTCCTAAGTCATAGTAATTCCAAAAAGAATTAGAAGCCACTTACTCAGACACTGCATAAGATTGATGAGTACATTTTTAAAAAAATCAGAACCAATGGGAAAAGCACAAGGAAGTTTACTACACTAAACTGCAGATTTCTTGCAATTTTGTGGCATCCTGAGCAAAGGAGAAATAAAATTAAGGCATGTAGCTCCTGTAGATAGAAAGGGGAGAGAGAGAGAGAGGGGGGGGGGGAGAGAGAGAGAGAGAGAGAGAGAGGTGAGGTGGTGGTGAGAGGAGAGGAGCACATGGTCTCATCTATGCCCTGTATGAAGGGCATTCTAGCAGCTAAAGCTGTTTGATGCTTAAATGGCTACCTGGGGAGGCAGTGAGCACTCTACCACTGGAGG